TGGTGTCTATGTATGATGAAGTTTGCTTAGGTATTGACTTCGGTTTTTGCAGTCCGTTTATCAGCTTGGGGCACAATGATGAGAATCGTCGCTGGTAAGCACTGAAGCCAATGGCGCAAATCTCTTACGGCCTGCCTAACGCAATCCCGTGTCTCATAAAAAGACAGACACGCGAAATTGAAATGTGTGCAGTGAAGGAAACACTAGTGAAACATCGTTATTCTCTCTAACCTGTCTGTTTTCGGTTTCCTTACTTGCATCCAACTCTTTTTTCTTACGCTCATTGTTTTCGTCTTGGCGCCATGTTAATTCTCAAGTCGATGTTTTGTGTCCGTATGTAAACATACTAGTGATCAATAAATTACTTAATTGTAAGGGCGTGTGGACAATAAATTTTTTTCTCCGTCTTTATCCCGATAGGATTTTTCTCGTATCGTCCGGAGGTACTTAACTACCGTTGGTCCACTTCGAATTTCAGATAGCATGCATGTATCTGCACCTGTATTTCTCAGAACCTGGATCTTCATCACAGAGACTGACCCGGTGGCCAAGGGAACCGAAAGAACCTACAGGCTTTTGGCATAGTTACACTCAGCCTTTTCGCATCGTTTTTCAGCATGCGGAATCATATCAATCTTCTGAACTGTAGTAGATTAATCGTCCAAGTTCAATATTTTTCTGGGGAAAACGATTCTACACAGTTAGGAGTGGATATAGGAGGAGATGTAACCAGGCTGAAGAACGATGTGACGGTTGAGAAGCGATACCATACGACTGAATAAAGAAGACTGGGTAATTGGTTATGTTACATTGACGACCGAATTGAGGCCTGCCGATAATTTCCGTGTATTCCCATCAAAGGGGTCTTGAATGTGAATTTCCAATAGAGATGAGATGCAATCGTTGCTAGAACCTATGCCACGGAGAGCAAAGTTTAACTGGAGTCGATATGTATGGAGTATCCGATATGAGTAGCACCTCTGATTCGGAGGGCTGTCGGAGCTTTTGGGGCATCTTCTGTTCTTTTGTCTCCCCTTGGTGCTCAGCTCTCACCTGCGACTCCAAGAAGCTGTCTGGATGCAAAAGCGACCACATTCTGGTAAACCGCTCAACAGACGGGCTAAACTAGTTTGAGGGTAACCGGGAGCTCAACTCCCGGCAAATCGACTTCTAACGAATGAATGCGGTACTAGCGCGTTGGGCGAACGAAATCGCCAACACAACTTAACGACCAAGGCAATGACTCCGTACCCACCAGTGACGCATGGACCCCTGTTAATGGCGTATGAGCCCCCCCCCCCCCTTTAGAAGGTCACCGGCAACCGTGCTCTACCTTCCTGCTACCATGCAGTCAGCACTTGGATCTGCAAAGATTAGAGATGCCGGGTGACGCTGGGGATGTCGGGGACGTTTAATGTACCTAACTCCCAAGTAATTTCATGGGATATTCCTAAAGCCGGCGTATATGGTATTGGTGTGAATTCGTTTTCCAACCAAACTAACATGCCCGCTTTCGACCGGTACACCTGAGAAGGCATCCACAGTCCAGTTGAACCAACCGTTTTCGCTTTGACTCATTGCATCTCAGAAAAGCATTTTGCAGTCTACTGCTGACCGTGTTTGTGCGCGCACCGATGTGGCTAACTCAATCCCTGTTCGTATTTGTGTGACCCAGGTCTCATTTCGTACCCGCGTGATTAGGTGTCACATACGGGTTTAGTAATGAGTGTGGACAAATCATGAGCGGCGGTTTCTTGGTGGTCTAGGCTATCTGCTCATCATCGTGACGGTGGTGCGTCCAAACCTCCACCAACGTTGCCTTATTTTCCGATTTCTTATCCGTCAGCCGCCGATGGCCCGTGGCTCTCTCCACTACGAATTTTCGATATGCGTATTGTATATAAATTCAATGGAACTAAAGTTGTTTTAAACGCGTAGATCGTCTCGATATCGAATTTCTAAATAATGGACCTCCGATAACGTTTCTGGTCCTGATAACCTTTACACAAGTAATGAGGTAGAACGCAACTTGAAGCACGTGGGATCCCAGTTATTGTACAAGAAACCTGATTATTCAATAGGAAGATGGAGGAATACAAACAAAAAATGATTGGTTGACTGTATCGTTGTCATCCATTTTTATTGGTTGTGGATTTTGACCAATCACCTGAGTTTGGTTATCCTTGATTTGATTGGTTGTCCTAGAACAATACAGTTTACTTTCGTTCAGCTTCTGTTATCTATTCGTGTTTTACGAATGCATCTTTTCACCTATGCAATTGGCTCGATTCCTGCAGAGTCTACTCACTGTTTCACCTGTCGCAACCAAACTAGGATTAACTGTACCATAAACGCTTGCAGTTCAGTTTTCATCAAGATAATAATTTAGCTGTTTATTAATAGGTGCATTTTTAATCGTGATAGTCACATCTGTTTTTGTTGGTTGGTTGCTGAATCTGCACTTTAGACGCTGCTTGCTATCTTCCTTCTATTTATTTATTTATTTTTATCAGCCTCCGAAAGTCTGTATGATAGGGGGTGGGTGGATCGGGTTGTGGCTGGTCATCATTCCTTTGCACCTCGGGANCGAGGCGCCTTAAACAGCTTCCACTGAGAAAGCCCTACTCATTATCTTCCCGTGGCGGCGGTTTTCCCACTAAAGTGAGAGGACGATAAGCCAACGTCTCAGCAGCTGGAACCGAGTTTACGAACCACTGGCAGTTCACCTAGGGGAGTTGGATAAAAACCCTGATTCCAAACCAATCAAGAAAAGGTGTACTGAGCTCACCCACCTACACCTCGATTGGGTATCGAGGCCTATTGGGCACCCTGGGTGTTTGATTCCGTCCAAAAGGGCGTGTAATCCGATGAACTGGATACCGGCCCCCAATGGATTGCGGTTTTCGCACACCGCTTCCGTACCTTGTGGGTCGGACCTTGAGTAGTCATAGATTTTTTTAATTGACTTAACTTGCTCCGGTCGTGAATTACCCCAGTAAAATTCATCAGCTTTGACCTGATCAAACTGGCAGTATCGCACCCCTGAGCAAATCTTGAAACTTTTTCTTTTTTTATAAAGTTTATTGTACTATAATTTGTTTCTGGTGTGCTGTTTCTGTGTTTCAGCTGGTTCCGTTGGTTGAAGCCTGGAAAAACAGTTGGATATCCGATGGACTTTCTAACCGTGATAATCGGTTACATTGGGCTCTGTCTCACAGTCATTTTCCTGTATCAATTTCATGACTCACCCACACTTCGTCCCGTGATGCGATTGTGCACCATTTGTACCGGTCTCCTAAAGCGATTTATTCCGGCTCACCTGCGCGAATTGGTTGAACACGTGATTTTATGGTTTCTTTTTGAACGGTATGTCGTTTGTGATCATCTCCTGTTGATATTTTCTTTTCAGACATTGTCTCTATCAGGTGTTGTATGCAATTCTTGTTCTGGTCGGACATGCAGTTCTGATAACCGATGTGATTGCCCAACTCTATCGATTCTCTGTTGTCGAGAATCATCTGTTCATCGGTCTTGCTAGCCTGTTTTGTAACGGGTTGTGCTATGTGCTTGTCTGTCTGACGGATCCGGGTAAGTCTGTTCTAACCAGATGGATAGGCCCTTAGAAATAACATCACAATGACTATCTAACACAGGCATATTGATAGTTGTAAACAGTATAAACTATTCATATGCTTAGTTCAAGTAATATTTTCGACTACCGTGATAAATGTCACCATTAGAACTTGTTTCGAAAAGTCAGTGCTCAGGGGTTTGAAGTTCCAACCCGAAAATCCGCGGTTCCACTCCTGACAGGGACGCAAAAAATACGCACTGCTGACGCGTCCCAAACGAGACGAAACAGATGTCGAGTGCTCTTTATCGGTAATCACAAAGATTTCCATCACATTGAAATGCATTAAACTGTTGGGGAATCAACGATCTCCCAAGTAGTGAAACCGATCCTAGTCTTACTCATATTGTTTTTATTTTCTAAACTATTTGTACATGCATTGCAGACCGTTGTTGTTGTAATCGTTTACTTCATCTCGTCTTAATTCTATTTTAGTTGTTTAATACTCTTCCGGCTCTGTTAGTCTCCAGTAGCAATGTTTAAAACGCGACAGACGCGTTTGCGCACACACACACACACACACACACCACTGTTCATTCTGATTCTTCCCCGTTTTTTCTTCTATAATCACGCGATTCAAAGTGAAACGGATCACGCTGAAGATGAATAACATCATCATACCAGTGCTTGACTGCTGACTCTTTGTAGGGTTCCGAAATCAGTTACTCAGCTGTAGGTCGTCATTAACTTCCCTATGCACTCAGTGCGCATCGGAGCCGTCAACCGTCAACTTGATTTTACGCCTAACTTATGGGATCCTTGTGCGGTTGTCAGCTATCAGAAGTGAACTGCGCGTCCGCGATACACGGTATGTGCCTTCTGTCGTTTATTATTCTACCGTGTTTAATAAGCAAATCTGAGTAAATGGATTGGGCATCCTACGAAAGGTAAGCTGTTAAGCACTAACACGATGATATTACTCATCAGTAAAGGCGCTACAGAATAGTTCTAATCAAGTTTCTAATCATCATCTTCATCAGTCAATAAATTATTCGTGAACTTGTGCATTTGATATCTGAAATTTGATTTAAGAATTAGATCGAATGGTCAACGGTTCTGGGAAAGCTGTGCTGATTCACTCATCTGCCGACCAACGACGCATTGGCTTAGGTTTTCATAATAATCATATGGGATTTTCACTGTCGATGCAGATTTTTATTCTCTTTCGTTTGCGGATAGAGCGATATTTTCTGTTTGCAATTTGCACTCTTTTTCTCAACCTACCCAATGTGCCCCGTTCTTCAGCTACCTCAAAGTATTGAACATGACACTAGCTTCGTACAGAACCTAACATAATCGTTAGGTCCCTTTGGTACGTAGAGTCTTTGACTTGTTTTAAATATTTAAACAGTCCCACAGAACAGAGGAGAACTCGAAGTCACCCCGGTGCGGTCGTCTGTTGTTTTGATACGTCAGGAACTATTCTAATGTAGAATATTGCGGACCGACAGTTAGCCGATTAATCTTGAAGCTGTTTCGTGTCACATTGAGGGAAATGTTTGAAAAATTACCTGAACAACATCACATATTTTGTTTGTTAGTTCCTCGTCGAACGACTATGAAGTGAGTATCTTTTTACACAAACAATCGCCCGATAAAACCTCTATGACGCAAAACATTGCGCGTATTCAAGATAATGATGGATTTTTTTAAGGCGGGAATTGCAGTCACCAAACGCTTCTGTTCGGTTGGCTGACTGTTCAGTTGTATCGCAGTTTGCTGTCAAAATAGACGGTTGTAGTAGACCATTCTCAAAAGGTAACCCAATCAAAAACCTTAACAAAAAGACCATCTACATAAAGCTTGTGTTCAAAGGTGACCATATTTACAATGATGTACCCCATAAGTTGAGGTCAGCTTTAGACCGTACACTCCCAGCTGCTCAACTCAGGTTCATTGCCTCTGCCCGTGGAATCGATCTGGACAGACGTAAACATGGCTGGCAAACNCACACACACACACACACACACACACACACCATGTATCAGTTCATTCATGAAGGTCTGCTGTCGAAATTACCCACGTTTGGATTCCACCCGTCTCTTGTATCGTGGCTTCTTTGTTTCCTCAGAAAGCGAACCATCTCCGTCCGAGTAGATGGGGGTCCTATCTCGGCCATTTCCTGTGAACGCCGCTGTTCCCCAAGGCTCCATACTTTCGCCCACCCTCTCTCTTATTTATTAACGATCTTTTATCTCAAATATCTAATCTTATCCACTGCTTTGCTGATGAGGCCACTCTCCATTGTTCTCTTTCTTATCACACAATCCGCCAAGCTCATGCCAACATCGATCACGATTGTAATGTCATTAGTGCTTCCCTTCCCTCCGATCTCGGACTAATCTCCGCATGGGGTTCTACCAACCATGCGTGTTTCAATGCTTCAAAACTTCTGTCCTCTCAGTTTCTCTTAAACATGCCTCTTTTTCTCCTCAATTGATTTTTGATTCTCTGCCCCTTCGTTCCATAAATTCTCACCCTCCTGGGTTTATCGATAAATTCGTCTCTCTGTTGGTCCCCTTTTATCTTCACACTTGCCTCTCGCGCTGCGCGCAAAGTTGGTTTTCTATTCCGCGCAAGGCATTTCTTTACATCCAAGCCCCCTCTCCTTTTATACAAAGCTCAAATCCGCCCGATGCTATAATACTGCAGTCACGTATAGGGTGGAGCTTCGTACTCCGCTCTTTCTCTTTTCGACCGTGTTCAGCGTAAAGCCATCCGGCTGATCGACGAACCGTCTTTAACTTCCAACCTGCAGTCGCTTTCCCATCGCCGAGCAGTTGCTTTGTTAGCTCTTTTCTATCGCTACTATTTTGGTTTCTGCTCTTCCGAACTCGCTTCAGCGGTTCCTCTTCCATTGACCTTCTCTCGTCCATCTCGTTCTCAGGCGGGCAGTCACCCTTATCAGGTTTCTGTCCCCAGGTGTTGGAACTCTATCTTTCAATCTTCTTTTTTCCGAGGGCTGCGAAATTATGGAACACTCTTCCCATTTCCGTTTTTCCCAGCTCTTATAACCTTACCCTTTTCAAAAGCAGGATTAATAAATTGGTTCGCACTTGAATGTTCCCCCACATACCTCCCCCTTGCAGTATATCGTTGATTATGGGGTTTACCCCTTTTGCTATAAATCACTTAGTGTGTAATAAAAAAAATTTACAGTTGTCTTGACGCATAGATAGACAGAACAACGGATGGCCGAACGCATTCCAAAATGGTTTGTGAAATCGACGACGCAACGGGTAACTGATGGCCAAGTGATTACAAGAAATCCAGGATCATCCGCTGCAAAACATACCATGACAACAAAACACAAAGTTAATGCAATTTCGTCATCCGAACCATTATTATGTAAATGCAATGCTAAACTTTTGGCAGTTGATGAAGCGCTGCTTATTCGATTACAGCAGCCGATACAATCAATTCACATGCTGTGGAGTTGACCTTCCACTCCTATATTTAGTAATCTTTGTATGCTTGGAAACGTTCATTCATCATAATTGAACCACCCCATTTGCTATATATGCGCCTGCTTATTTCAAGTCAACGATTGAGAAGATTGTAAGAAATGCTAACATCCCGTGACATGTGGCTTCTTTCTGTGTTGATAAAATGGATAAAGGGGATTCAGTGTTTTAGGCTCTCTTGAACTTGTCAGTATCACGAAACAGGCGATACAAACTCCTTAGTCCCAGTGACACGATTATTTTCAACATCGAATCTGTTTTCGAGCACATCTGGGGTTTCCGATGGTTACTTATTTCAAAAGACAGTTCTGTTAGTCTGGATACACACTCGCCCTCGTCCAGAGGCGTTTTCAATTTATTTTTCAAGATAGCAGCCCACCCGAGACAACACGTCTTGCATCGGATTCACGAAGCAAATGACTTCGCCTTCTCATGCTGGCGATGTGTGATGCATATGAGCGCAGACTCTGCGGTTCATTCTCTCCCGAACCTTTAAACGCGTTGTCTCATAACCATTCCTGCTGCTCCTAACCGGTGTATGCTTTGTTTTTTTTCCGTGTCAATGTCGACGATGAGGAATGAGCATTCTGCCTCTGACCGTTTCGTTTTTATATAGAATCTGGTTCAGCTTCTCTATCTCTCCCTTCTCTGTGATGGTTTTATTCTTGCGATTCTGATGATGTGTGATCGAACAAACGTTTCTGACAGTTCGTTTTCAGTTTAGCATAATCCTATTTTGAAAGGTTGAATGTTCTCATAATAGTTTTGAGAAAAGTAGTCGGTGATCGAAGAATTGTTATCGGTTCTTACTAGTCGGCTTTTACATATGTAATGTAATGTATGTAATGGAAAAATGCTTATATAATGATAGCCATTAGTTCAATTTAAGGTCATTAAACGGAGGGAGAGGGTAGAGGATGTGTGTGTGTGTGTGTGTGTGTACGGGCGATTGTTTACTGCGTTAGTTGATGTGACCTTTCTCCACTTTAGCTAACCGACACATTACGTTCTGTTTTGATTTTCACACTGGGCTAAAGCAACTGAAGCACTGGAACCGGTCTTTTGGGGACACAGGTTTGGGCAAAGTAAGCGAATGGTGATCGCCTCGGTCATGACTATAGTGTTCAATCCGTGGTCGCATTCGATCGAGGGAGACGGGAAAAACATCGAATGCTTTCTGCGGTTCGATCTTATGTCCGGTGCTTACGAAATGACGCACGATCGCGCTTCAGATAGTTAGTTTTTCCCTGACTTAACCATCGCGAGTGGTGACAATGACCTTATAGTACGACCTATGCAGCGTGTGCCACAGATGATCATGTCACATAAAGAAACATAGGAGTTAAAATTAGTCATTTGTACAATATGGTGGGCAAGTGAGTTGCGTGATTGGGGTTTGGTTATTGGTCAGATGACAACATTTGATATGAAAGTGGGCTAGTTCAAACGATGAGGTGGAGGGAAAATCATGCCACGCAATATGGTGAGGTGGTATCAAGGGTGACGCAATCACTACCACAGCAACAGCAGTTGCGTCACTAATGTTTTTTAACGATTTCAAACAATGGAACATTGTAGCTTCCAAAAATAGTAAACTCCATGGATCTCGAAGTATCGCAATGACTCGAAACACTTTTGGTTCATCAACGTGGTGACCGGAGTCTAACAAATGCTGATCCCCAGTTGGGCCGATACAAATACCATTTGCTACTGGGACTCGAGCTGGGCTAACTTGTTAGCAGTATTTGCCTTGGCAATTTAGTTTATTTTCACTCTTTGTTGTTGTTATTACTTATGAGTAGTTTGTAACGTCCAGAAAAATTGAGAGTTTCGAGAATCTACGTTCGTACACATGGTATCATTGAGAATTTATTGGTATACCGATGTTCTTTCTGATTCCGATGAATATTACTATGTGGTGTGTTATTGGCGATTTCATTTTATTTCATCAACGGATCCAGTTAGTTGTATCATTCCTTGTTTTATTTTACTCCAGTAATCCCCTATAACATTGCTGTGCCCTACTTTTACAGGGTCTAAGCATATTTTTAAAATAATATTCGATTTCATCAACAACAGAAGACATATGCGGGAAGAATTAATATTGGCCATCAATCACATATGTCTTCTATTGTTGATGAAATGGATAAGGGGAAAAGGATGTTTCAAATATTCGATTTATCTATGAAAAAAAGGGCTGGCTTCTATCAGTACGTTTGTTTCCAGTATCATTATCATTATACCAGAGACTGCACCTTGACGTGGTGGGATGGCTTGCGTGCCTCCATGACCCTGCGAGCTATACAGGGTCGCTGTTTACAGCCGTAGATCCAATCATGCCTGAAAGATCAAAAGGTAGAGGCCAGACGAAGCTCAGTCTCACAAGCCAGCTGCTTGGGCACGTCCTGGCTTCCTTCATCTATCCACACCCGCCCCTGGAGAGGCCACTCCAGCAAATNNNNGTTTACCGATCGAAAACCCCCGCTAGATGGACGTAGGAGCGGGCTACCTGGGGCCTCCTCTCGCCGGTGGGAGAAGTCTTCGAACTTCATTGGACAGTTACCGTCCACGCAAGCTGGGCAGCCCCCAGCCAATAAGGTGCTGTCCCGTCCACGTTCCGCTTGTCTCATTGGGTGCATGAGACTGAGGGCTGCTCCCGAAAAGCGGACCGATAATCAACGCACCAGCGAAAAACAATTTGTCGAAATTCAAAGGCCTTGCGTGATAGGTATCTAGAAGCTCCCACACGGGTGCTTCGTTCACGCTCCCGCGTTGACCCACTGCCTTGTGGGTCAGACTTTTGAGTTAAAGNNNNCGTCGGTGTGGGCAACCGCGAAGTACGCGGTGCCCTAAAGTCTTAAGCATCCATTTGGAAAAGCCTCTTTCTGATCTATCTAGTTCTTCCTCTCAATCCCGAATAACTCCAGACGCCTGTTTACGCCACCCATCGAATATCACTCAGCGTTTTTCCATCAAGGCCAAACAATCAGAAGTTACGGGATTTTTGGTCGACCCCCATAGATTACGTCGGTTGGAGCATGTGTTACGCATGTCACCAGATAGGTTGCCACGGCGAGCGATGTTCACCGAGGCAGGTAAGGGGTGGAAGAAAAGCAAAGGTTATCAAGCTAAGACGTGGCATGAGGGTATGACAACACTCACCAGGAGTCTGGGCCACGTAGGTCCATTAGGCATCCTGGCTGAGGACCTCAGGATGATCATACCCGATGTTTAGAGACAGTGAGTGATATGGGTGAGTGTCTTAAACAATGGAGTTCGTGCATCTTGTCAACTTCTCTGCAACTTTAGTCCACTGAAATCCTCGATCCTACTTTCAACTTTTCCTATCTTCCTCCTCTTGTCTTCCTCCTTAAGTTCATCCAAATGGGCAGCCAAAAGACAGCAACCAAAACCGGCGCACGATAGTGCATGGTTAATGGTTGTACAAACTGGACCTGAAGTATCATTATAAACTGTATAACGCATTTTGTTCGCCAGATTCTCGCCAGTACGACTCGTTTCATTTGATCCGTTTTTTTCTGCATCACTTTGCGTTTTTATGTTTTTGTTCGGCTGTGTAACTCTCCCCCTTTCTCATAAACCGGTTCAGATTTTATTGATTTCTGTATACATTTTCTCGTTATCCTCATTCGGTGTGTGTGTGTGTGTGTGTGATCGTTTCATCTGATTCCTAACTATCCACCACTGAAATCACAATCCAAACGCGATAACATTTTCATGAGATAAACGAATAGTCATTGATTGCTTATTGTAAAAAATACAACTTACCTATATTTTGTTAGATGGACATGTTTCGTGAAGTTCATAAGTGTATATGAGACGTGATTGATCGTTTTCTCCTTCATTGTACCTTCCATCCTCCCTTCTTCCCTTGTCTACCGATCGCGTTCTAGGTGTGATCAACGCGCAAAATTTACCGGTCTACGCCCACGTCTATCCGTACGATGGCGAGTTGTATACGGAAAAGCAATGCACCAAGTGCCTCCATCAAATGCCTGCGCGTTCTAAGCATTGCGGTAAGTCGTCTACTGAGATGCGGAGCTTATTGTTGACACCCGAGGCCAAGCCCTCGAACTGCAGGTATTGATCAAACTCGTGCAACAACCTGACACTTTAATCACATTAGCTTTTCGCAACGTGAGCCTCATTTACAGACGCAACATATTTACAATACCATCCACGTTTGTTGTTGTTTCTATTGGTCGAATACCATTAAAATGTACGATTACGACGGCGGTTGTTGGTGCATCAGTTCTACAATGAAAAAGCCTCAGTAAAAAAGAATATCACTGAAATTTATTGGAGTCAGAAAATTCTCACTAATCGGCCTATTTACCGTGCACCGAATGAAACAAATGGTAAACTATTTAGAATATCTCAAGTGAGTAATGGAGGATTTGATTGAATTTTACATGTGAATTCGTCATGTATATGGCAAATGAAGCGTGAACTGAAAAGCTAGGAAGCACTGGACAGCTGTTTCGACCTGGTTAAGTCTCATCAACAGCGCAAATCCATTGACTCAACTGGCGATCGAATCCGAGACCTCAGGCAGAACGCAAGCGTGCTACCCACTCGGCCACCGGGCAGCTGATCAGACCATTTTTCACACGATATAGCACGATCCATCTTTACGACCTTTTTTTTCAGGTCACAGACCCCGCTCATCTCAGCACTAGCCTCTGGGGTTATGACTCGGTTGGAAACTTTCTCAACCTGCCTGCTTGTTTTATGCGTGTTGAGTCGATGGATTTGCACCGCTGATGCGACCCAACCAGGTCGGAATAGCTGCTCAGTGCTTCTTAGCTTTTCGGTTTATAACTCCATCAGAGAGTAATAAATAAACATTCGTGACCATTGAATATGTTTCGTGGTTTTGGAGGGTTCTACACCATGCTTGTACTTGGTTTGTTAAAGTGATTTGCCAACATACGAGCTGTTTGTGACCCACCATCCCCGAATTTTGGCTTTTCGTCGTCCCACTTTGGTGGGAAAACACTTGCGCCAGGGGAAGGCAGTGAATAAGGGTCGTTCGTCAACAGAGGCTATTTGAGCCACGTATAGAGAAGCGTTTGGCGAGGTGCAAGAGAATGGTGATCAACCACAACCCTATCCACGCACACACGACCATACAATGAGGATTGCAGTAAATTTTCGGCCAGCGAATTTCACTGTTTTTTATGTCATACAATTCGCGCTGTGTACTCAGCCAGGGTGACGGAACTGCTTTTATTATATTAGTTCTGCTGTTGTTTGTGGTTTGATTCGTTACAGGCATACACCGATCTTTAAGAGTTAAAGATTCAAATGACAGATGCCGTTCAACTTTAGCGGTAAAGAGCATTATTGTTGCCTTACTCCATGTCACCACTATACTAGTGGTGATGGTGGTGGTGATCATGTTAATTACTCCTCTGTCTTTGGTGTGTTTGGGCCTCTTGAGTTCGAGTTTTATACCTTATTACGGTCGCCCATATTCAACAGTGGAGATCTTACTTCAGTATGACTCATCTTCCTAAATTCTTTAGTCCGAGTGTCTTGGTTTCTGTTGCTTCCTCCTGCTTGAATCCAAATGAATCGAACGGTACCCATCACCCGGACAGTCGAACACACAAACAAGCACACGCAAGATACGATACTACTCAATGTCCGTTAAGGTATTGTTGTGTCTCGCCAAAGCCTATTACCGAACCTGGTCCCACGATGTGTACCCCAAGGATCCCAGCTAATAGACAATTCAAGTCTTTTGTGTTAGTGCCCGTCAAACGTGGATTGAAAAAAGGAGAGGCGTGCGATGTATATGGGGTTGATCACAGTCTGGTCATTTGTCCGATATCGGGGTCATGAGGGGATCGATGGAGAAGTTGCACAAATCAGATTGCCGTTTTCTGTTCGTCACTCTGACAAATACGTATCCAGGACCCCCGAGAAAACGCGTTGGCGGCTGATCCCAATCCATTTCGAACTCAAACTGCGAGAATTCTCAGGGGAAGGTTAGGCTTCCCTTGATAGATAGAATAATTTTAAACGATGGGGATGAACGTGAAGTTCAATGAATTGGCCATGTGTCCATCAAGGTTTGGCCGGTTGAGGATAGAACCTAGCTGCTGTTAATGACGGGGGGGGACATTGTGTCACTTGTCGTTGTGACCTGTATCATTTTACCGTTTGAATTTCTTCGCAATGATATGGCTTTTCTGGTGAAATCGTGAGTTATTACTTATCCTGGACATTTCCTGAGTGTTGTATGTGTATGTGTGTATTTCCTCGAAATTATGTACGTCAACTTCGTTTGGCGCTTAGTTAAGGCCACACGGTCCTGTTGATCGTCTTCGAATTTCAAGAATGTCTTTGTTATTGTTGCTCCTGAAACCAATGTATTCCACGCATTCGATTTGACCCGCACGTTGGTCAAAACTAGTCCCATGGTTATGTGTCACGACCTACGAAAGCCTCCGTATGATTGGGGGTAGGTGTCTCGAGTTGTGACTTATCACCATTCTCTTAAATCTTACACAATACTCCTACACGACGAAGCAGCTCAAAACGTCTTCGCTGAGGAAGTCCTACTCACTGTCTTCCCGTGGAGGTGTTTTTCCCCCAAAGTGAGAGGATGCAAAGCCAACATGTCGACGGCTATCATCGGGTTGGTGAACCACTGGCAGTTCATTTAGAGGAGTTGGCTAAAAACTCTGATTCGAAACCAACCAAGAGGAGGTGTACAAATCACGAACACCCACACATTCCTGTTTGTGGCATTGTCACCGGTTCGATTAGTCATGGAGACGTAGTAGCCAACTTGGACTTTTGACCCCGTCCAAAGGGTGTATGATCCGATGAAGTGGACACCGGTACCCAATGGATTGTGGTTTTCGCACATCACTCCGGTGCCTTGCGTGTCAGACTTTGGCAAGTCAAAGGCTCCGGTTGTGAATTCCACAAGAAAATTCACCCGCTTCGACCTGGTCAAACTGGAAGTATCGCTCTAACGAGCAAATCATGGAACTTCTTTTTATGAAGATTTTTATAGCATTGAATCCCTTTTGTCCATCAGTACCGAAAGAAGACAAACTTTAACGAGATGTTAACATTTCGTTTTATCTTCTCAATTGCTGACTTAAAACAACCAGACAGATTTTAGAATGTCATACTTGGATTATCCCAGTCGACTGTGCAGAAGTACCAGGCACTCTTGGTCGTGCCAGTTCACCTTCAGTTGCGGTAACGCATATATAGGTTGGGGGGAGGGGCGGTGCTGGATCGTACGAAGTTCACACCCATCAACGACTCTCAATAGAATGCATTCTGTATTGTGTATAACTTTTGCAAGCACTGGAGCTCACATTTCAGTTAAAATGTCATACACGCTAACCGTCACAATGTACATAATCAACGGAGAGAAAAGTTTTCGCAGGCATGGGGACATTCATAATCCAAGGTTGAAACAAAGTTCACTTATTGTTCGCTCTTTGTTTATGAGTAGACGAGTAAGATACAGTATGGGTGAATTACGGCATGCATTAATTCGAGATGAAATTTGGCGGAATTGGGAGCGTGTTGAATGATGGGAATGTCAGAGTGTCAGTTCTGCATGCAATGGGTGGTCCGGATCTGTGAGAATCCTCTCGGCAAATTTCACACAGGAAGTTACGTGATACTCGGATTTCAGCTAATTCATTCACAGGAATGGAAGAGACATGACTAATAATGGTTAGACCGCGTCGTAAGAAGTCCTGTTTGAGTAAACCAGGAAAAATTACCGGGGAACAGTAGAGTAAGATGGGAAAAACACATTGATAAACAAAAGTAGAAATAACTGACTGGGATGCACGAAACTGCCACAGCTTTCGTATTTGAAATGAAAGGCGTCGCAGTTTACCACTACAGTTGTGGATGTGGGTTGATCAATGAAGATTGCTATCCATGGTTACACCAAGATATTTGACGGAGTTCACCCTGGATAAAGGATTGATATTAATCACTGTGGGGTCTGTCGGATATGGAGAGCGAGCAAAACTATATAAACACTCA